AAGAGAGAGAGGAGAAAGAGAGAGATGAGAGAGAGAGAAGGGATACGAGAGAGAGAGGATAGAGAAAGAGAGAGACAGAGAGAGAGAGAGAGAAGAGAGAGAGAAGAGAGGGAGAGAGAGAAGAGAGAGAGAGAGAGAGAGAGACGAGAGAGGAGAAGAGAGAGAGAGAGAGAGAGAGAGAGAAGACGAGAGAGAGAGAGAGAGAGAGAGATGAGACAGAGGGGGAGGGAGCAGAGAAGAGAGAGAGAGTGACTGGAGAGAGAGAGAGAGAGGGGGGGGAGAGAGAGAGAGAGGTGGGGGGGAGGAGAGAGAGAGAACGAGGTGGGTGAGAGTTGGGTCTGTGATACTATTGAGATGAGACGAAAACGCTAGAGAGGCATCATGTTGGATGGCGGGAGATTTGCCAAAAAGTATCGTCTCGATATAACCGATTTATGGATATCGAACGAGAGAGACGAGACGTGCCAGTTCTTTTCAAACGATTTACTTTATAAATAATAGATTTGTATATTTCTTACAGGGAAGGCTTACTCTGGAGAGGCAGATGAGAAACGAGAGAGAAAGAGAAGGCGGGGAGGGAGCAGATTTTATTTTACAGAGATCACCCGTGACTGGGGCGGGGTCTGTTGAAATTAGTGCGTCAATCAGACAGGATCAGCACATTTTGACACTCATAAGGGGGAGCGTAAATAGACAAATTTTGATGAATAATCTTCGACTTGTCTCTCTGGGAAAGGATCAGAAAGGTGGGAGCGTGTACTGAGGACCAAAAGGATGGTGGCGGATAATGTTGGAAATTACAAGTTTATCACTCGCGCGTGATAATAGGCGTGTGGTGAGTTGAGTGTGCGTGATCACTTGTGAGTCCTCTCCTCTCTCTCTCTCTCTCTCTCTCCTCTCTCTCCCCCCCCTCTCTTTCTCTCTCTCTCTCTCTCTCCCTCGCTAGCTTGCGCGGTGGAATGGTGCGACGACGTGTGACTGTTGCTTCTTTCAGGACGACGAGAGGTATCTCACAGAACTATTTAGCAAGTTGAAAGACGAGAGCACGGACGACGTGACGCGGCGGGACCTCGTCCTCTTTCTAAAGGAGTTCTGTACGTTCTCGCAGACGCTACAGCCTCAGAGTAGAGACTCGTTCTTTAAGGTTTGTACTCTCTACTGAGCAGATGATTAGTACACTGCAATGCAGCATTAGTCGTGCTTTCGCTGTGCAATGATAAAGTCAATTGAAAATGGAAATGATGCAAGCGATGGTCGAAAGTGTGCGTGCTTGCGTGAATTTTCCTGTTGCCGTTCAGTCGCCGTGTTTTTCCGGGTGCGTTGTTACTGGGGGCAGAGCGGTGACGAGCTTTTCAGTGTCGTCCACCGTAACTCTTACATTGTTGTCGTTCACGATCGTACAACACGTGAACTTTGTTGGTTTCATCGCAATGGCGGTTACTTGCATGGCATTTTTTTGCTATTTACAATGCATCTTAATATGATTGCAGACATTATCAAGTATGGGGATATTGCAAGCACTGGAAATCACATTGGTATGTATTACGACGGGTGGAAATCTCTCACACACACGTAATCTTCACAGTGCCGTTGTAAAATGTCTGGCCACTGCAAGGCATCTCTACAGCATATAATTCTTCCAAAGTATTTCTGTCCACCTTGCGAATAGATTATTCGCTGTCATAAACGTGCCAGCAGAATTAACGATCACCGTTTGTTAAATTTGCGTCCGAACAAGAGGATGTAGCACTCGATACAATGTATTTGCGTGCATGCGTGCGTGCGTGCGTGCGTGCGTGCGTGTGTGCATGCGTTAGTGTGTGCGTGCGTTAGCGCGTGCGTCCACCTGTTTGCACGTTGCCCGTACGTGCGCTTGTCGTGTGCGAGCGCACGCGGCGGTGGCGCGCGCTAGCCCAGCGCCCTGCGTTTCACGGCTTCCTCTCGTTCGTTCGTTCGTCGTCGGCTGTGTAGGGTGTGGAGAACGAGGAGGTGCGCAGCGCGTCGATCGACATCCTGTCGTATGTCGTCGAGTTCAGTCCGTCCATGGTGCGAGAATTCATCCTGCAGCAGTCGAACACGCAGGACGATGTAAGTGAACGTTCGTTAGTGCGTGCGCGCATGCACCTGTTTGTACGTATGCACATGCTGTCAGCACGGGTCGAAATTAGCGGTATCCCGATATCCGCGGGATAGTTGATTCTTGTGTTGGATACCAGATTTCAATGCTTGGTATCTCGCCGGGATAGTAAAAAAAAATCAAAATCGGGATAGTGGTTGTTGAGTTATCAACTTTATACGGCAGCGCATCTGAGCGAGTGCGCGTAGAGCAAGTGCGCGCGATCTGAGCGGGCTCAGGCACCCTTACTATCCAAAAAATGGGATACCAGATCTTTGGGGGGGGGGGATACCAGATTTCAATACCTGGTATCCCGAATGGATACCATAATAAAAATATAATTTCGACCCCTGTGTCAGTAAGTGTTGCTTCCTGAGACCTAACTCTTTTGTCGCTCCGGATGTAATGTAATTTACTAATTTACCAGTAGTGTAATTTAGAATTGCACATAGAAAGCAGAACGACGCAGAGTAGTTGTGTTGTTCGGTCAACGAGTATTGTTTTTGAAAATCACGAGCACCAAAACAGACTGCTGACTTACAATCAACTGCCACGACCGCCTCCGAACAAAGTATCTATTCCCCCGTTATCCTGTGCATGTTGTCCCCACATCTCACCCTTAAAGTTATTATTACGAGAGTTTTGCTCAGAAACCCTCGACCCAAAAAAATATAGCGAAATATAGTCTCACCTCACAGCACATATATCACTGATTTCATTAAGATTTTAAGCAGTTATATCATAAAAAATTGGATATGATTACGTGTCACGATAATGGAAAAATTGGTAAACTTGTAAATTGGCGGTGATTAATTGAAAACAACTGCATTTGAGAGAGACTGTATGTCTATGGCAGATAGGCGGCGGCGCTACTAGCTAGTCCAATACAACCGGCTCTAGTTTCAAGATTACAGCAAAACGATTGTTTACCAAACTAGTTTGAAAATTGCATGTTTTGGTGAATACGAAGGTTCTAAGACATTTTATCGTTACTCTAGACAATGGCTGTTACTCAAGCAATAACGGTAGGTATCATGAAAGTGGTGAAAACACTGGAAAACTCGTAATAATTACTTTAAAGTAATAACATCACCATAAATAGTACAAAGTAAACAAAATTATGTCAACTTTTTCACAAAATGTATGTGATTCTGTTCACTTTTTATGGTTAAATTGCTGCATTATACTTCCTATTTTGCTATTCCGTTCAATGTGAACAAACACTCGTGACTCATACATAGCCCATAGCAAGCATTTAATGTCGTGGTAAATATATCAAATCGCCCAGGTTTTTAGGATTTTTAACTAGTTGAGAAACAATCTTACCAGGTAAGAATTTGAGGATACATTTAGTCCTGTTAGTACTTACTTTTAATGTAAAGTAGAGTACGTATCGTAAAGGAGACTAAACGTATCGTCAAATTCTTACCTGATAAGATTGTTTCTCAACTAGTTAACAATCCAAAAAACCTGGACGATTTGATATTATGATCCTGACATTAATTACTTGCTGTGAACTATGTATGAGTCATGAGTGTATGTTCACATCGAACAATATAGTAAAATAGGAAGTATAATGCAGCAATTTAATCATAAAAAGTTATCAGAATTACTTATATTTTGTGAAAAAGTGGAGATTTGTTTTAATTTTTTATTATTTACGGTGACGTAATCACTTTAAGGATACACTCAAGACATGAGTGCTGCCGTCATTCAGACGTGGAGAGAGCCTCCCGGGTGCTGTCGCGAATTCTGTCATTGTGTTGCCGTTGTTGTTTCTCGCGGTGCCGTTGTTGACCGATCCATCTGTCTAAGCTAGTGTTATTTACCTCGGGATGTTGTTGAGACTCGTGCTAGTTTGTATGCGCACCTGAACGTTTATTAATATCATTGTACATTGTTATTAGAAGGTTATGTCGCGACGCCAATTGGCTAAAAGTGGCAATAAATGGTGCAAAGCAGATAGGTCAGTTCTGTGTCTATGAGTCATATCATGTGCCAGTTTACTGGCAATTTGCGGGATGCATCCTCAAGAGGAAAAGAGAGAGGAGGAGGAGGAGGGATAGAGAGGGGGGGGAGAGTGGAGAAGGAGGATCTTATTTTCGATAATCGATTATTTACTTTCATAATCGAGCGCTTAGTCGGTTGCAGCTTGCTGCAAACGACTGTCTTTCGATTATAATCGATCGTCGGGACATCACTAATAACTTGTGCTGCAGCTGCTTCGTTTTCTGTTGCTAGGACCAGTTATTCATCAACCTGGTGATAGAGCAAATGATCTATGACACGGATCCGGAGATGGGTGGCGCAGTACAGCTGATGGGCATCATCCGACTGCTCATAGATCCAGAGAACATGCTAGCGACGGCCACTGTAAGTAGCTCGAACATTGTCACCCTTCACGTGCGCCGAGTTCTGATGAGTTCTGTGGTCTACGGGAGTACGGTGTCTCTTCTGACTTTGCAAGGAGTGTTGGAATCGGGTGTATGCGGGGAGGGGGGTCCGCTGAATGAATTCAGGCAATAGTTTGCTATAGTTTTAATGCGTGTAATCATGAAAATACATGTCAGCATAGCCGGATTACAGCACTGTACAAGGATATCGCTTTGGCAATCTTTGACTTTTTGTATGTAGATCAATTTTAGACGATTTGTTCGTTGTCGCGTAATGTCGTTTGTGACGCTCACGTGTTTTTGTGTTTTCTGCGTCTGGTTTTAAAGCAGAAGACGGAGAAAACGGAATTTCTGAGCTTTTTCTACAAGCACAGCATGCATGTGCTCACAGCTCCGCTCTTGGCAAACACCGCTGAAAACAAGCCAAACAAAGGTACGTGTCGAACACCTACTGCGGAAACCTTGTATGCTATTGTAGCGTTGAAGTTACACCAAAGAGATTTAAATGAAATAATTTAGTTTTATTTTAATTTACTGTTATAGTAGAATAATCAAAGACAAAGTATAAATTTTGTGTTCACTAAAAGAATATATTTTACAACTAATACAGGTCTCTAACGGTACGCGCTAACACTCAGAATCCAATCCCGACCTCTCTTTAAATTTCTATTTATATGCAAACTCTTCACCAATCACAAACAAGTCCAAACTCTTCCTAACCAATCACACGCAACTACCTAGCTCTTTGTCCTTTCAAAACTCCCGCCATAACCCACATGTCTAACACCGGATCTACAGCCCTGTCTAGACTAATATTCCTAAACTAACACGCATCTATATCGCACACGCAAACTACTATTTATAACCTACATGCTAACTACTACACCTAACCCTACCCAGGCTAATTTCAGCCAAATCTAGCTACACTTACTACTTTATGTAAACATCTGTAAAACACATGTTACACTATCTTAGATCACGTTCACTTTTGCTGGTGTCATGGTAAAAATTAACGATCGGTTTTTTATTAAATCTGATTTGCTGAAGTCGGTGATATCGTTTAGCATCATATTCCGTTGAATTTGACCGTTTCTACTGTAAACTGATTTGTTTTGGCTGTAAACTGTTCAGTATTATACCCATTCTCTGATAGCTATCAGAAATACACCCATTTAAAAAAAGAAAGTATTTTGTACGATAGCCTCATTTCTTGTGCTGTTTATGGAGGTAATGATGGAAACTGTGCTATTGAAATTTATATCTTCACACGTTGCACCAGATGCATGTGATTTAGAATAATCAAAAATATTCTTTAATAATCGAAACGATATACATCTTGCAATATTTCACATTTAACTACTATTAGTTTTAATTAAATTGAGCAGCATATTTTATAATTAAATAACCTTTAATGAATTATTTTTTTGTTTATTATTATCATTATCATTATTGTATCCCTCGCGACGAAGTTGGCGGGTATACTATGGTTTCATGTTTGTCTAGCCGCCGCCGCTCGCCGCCGCAGACACTTTCCCTTCCGCTCTATAACTCGGCCCCTAATTGACCTAGCGCGACCAAACTTGGTCTACTTACACATCTTGGGGAGAAGGTGTGTCGCGTACCAAAATCAGGTCACTGCGACCTTTATTTGACCTTGACCTTCACCTTGATCATATTTTCTTTCCGCTCTATAACTCGGCCCCTAATTGACCTAGCGTGACCAAACTTGGTCTACTTGCACATCTTGGGGAGAAGGTGTGTCGCGTACCAAAACCAGGAGATATTTCATTCATACTAGATCGCGGGGGGATACATGTGGTTGGCGACAACTGCCATCTAGTTATTATTGTTGTTATTTATATATATGCAAAACTATAATATGCTCTCAGTGTGTGCATGTAAAACAACCCGTCACGAATGTAAATTGCCAAAAAAAACTAGAGCATTAATTATTATTATTATTATTATCATTATCATTATTGTATCCCTCGCGACGAAGTTGGCGGGTATACTATGGTTTCATGTTTGTCCAGCCGCCGCCGCTCGCCGCCGCAGACACTTTCCCTTCCGCTCTATAACTCGACCCTTAATTGACCTAGCGCGACGCGACCAAACTTGGTATACTTACACATCTTGGGGAGAAGGTGTGTCACGTACCAAAACCAGGTCACTGCTACCTTTATTTGACCTTGACCTTGACCTTCACTTTGATCATATTTCCCTTCCGCTCTATAACTCGGCCCCTAGTTGACCTAGTGCGAGCAAACTTGGTCTACTTACACATCTTGGGGAGTAGGTGTGTCGCGTACCAAAACCAGGAGATATTTCATTCATACTAGATCGCGGGGGATACATGTGGTTGGCGACAACTGCCATTTCTAGTTATTATTGTTGTTGGTTATATATATATATGTAAACTATAATATGCTCTCAGTGTGTGCATGTAAAACAACCCGTCAAGAATGTAAATTGCCAAAAAAAAAACTTATTGAGCATTAATCATTATTATTATTACTATTATTATTAACATTATTATTATAATTGCCTACTTGAATTGAATACTTAGAAACATGAAACATTGCGTTATCACTGCGGGGGTGCAGTATAAGCCGTGTGCATGAGCGGTTTAAAATATAAATTATCAATGAATGACCATAAGCAGTTTAAAAATTACGATTTTCAATCATCTCCTCATTAATGCTTGGAAACCGAAAACGCCAATTAATTAAACAATGCTTATAAAAACGTATGCTAATTAAACAAAACTTAACCACAAATATCACCGATGGCGACGCTAACGTCGCCGATCGAGCCGAATGTGAGCTTCCGTGCCATGGCGAAGCCGTGGCGCCCCCTGGCGGCGCACTTGTTTTCATCGCCGCGCGGCGCCGCTCGTGTTGCAGACGACTACCAGACGGCGCAGCTGCTGAGCCTCATCGTCGAGCTGCTGTCGTTCTGCGTCGAGCATCACACCTACCACATGAAGAACTACATCCTCAGCAAGGACCTGCTGCGGCGAGTGCTCGTCCTCCTCAAGTCACGACATACATTCCTCGTTCTCTGTGAGTGCGTGCGTGCGTGCGTGCGTGTGCGTGTGTTTGCGTGCGTGCGTGCGTGTGTTTGCGTGC